CGGCATGCAGGCAGACATGGTGCTAGAAAAGGAGTAGCAATTTCTACATCTGGATCTGAAGGCAGCATAAAGACTGTGGAGGCGGTTCCTATTCAAACCACCACACCATGTAAGGGACTGTAGTCATGTTTCTGAGATTAAGGTGGGTGAAGTTATGCTATGAATCCCAGTAGCAAGGACATGGTATAACCTTTCCATACATGACCTTTCTATGTCTGACCTTTCAGTATGCTCACAGAATTGTTTTTGATAAGACACTTTTACCTCCACCCTGAGAGAGGAGATGAGTCAATAACCCAAGACCCGTGACACACCAGATGAAGAAACAGAGTGAGGGAAGAGGACAGAATTAATGGAAGGAAAACAATGTTTTTCTGCAGCACCAATTATTTGATAATTTTTTCCTTAAAGGAAAACTTTGGGGACACTTATTTTAGCATTTATTTTCTGTTGTAAAACCTTAGTCTCACTTGGGTGAATATCCAAGGAGGCAGGCCTGGTCTGGATGCCTGGAAGGGTTCTGTCAGGGATATGGCAGTCAGACTCATTCAGGTCCCAGAGTGCTCTAAGTAGGTCCATTTGTGCATCTTCAACCTTATCTTGAATGTGGCCTTTTCCCAGCTTTCCTGGCCTTGCTAGCCTTTGTCATGCTGTAGCTTTTGCTAAGCTGCTTTCTTCATCCTGCTGTGCCTGCTTCCTAGAGAGAATACAATCTTCCACCTTGGCTCATTCATGCTTTCCTCCACTTCTCCAAGCTATTTGTTCTGTAGCCTCTCAATTTTGACTCACCTTTTAATATTAATAATTATTAACACAAGACAGTGTGTCTTGGTATAGACACACGGTCACCAGATGTGTCCAAAATAATCAGTTTTTCTGTTTGTTTTTTGTTTTTCAAGACAGGTTTTTTTTTTTTTTTTTTTTTTTTTTCGGTAGTCTTGGTTGTCCTGGACATGCTTTGTAGGCCATGCTGGCCTTGAGCTTAGAGATCCACCTGCCTCTGCCTCCCAAGTGCTAGCATTACAGGGGTGCACCACTGAATCTGGCTAAGTGTAACTGTTAAAGAGCTACATTAAAACAACGGTCAGGATTAAGGGGCTTGTGTTTGTTATGTAGCCATTCCAAAGTCTTTTATTGTTTGTTCCTGCTCTAGGTTTAAACCTTTACATGGGCCTTAGGGCTCATTTACCGAAGAAACAGGTAGTTTTGTCTGTCCAGATATTTCTCTGGTGTCCTGAATGGGAAAGAAGTACGAAGCTGAGGCATGTTCATTTGTAAATGCTCAAGGTCAGCTTGCTCTTCAGAATGGCACTACCTGTCAATTTGAGTCACCTTTTAAGAGGCTGCTTTAGAAGATTAAATCCTTCCCCCACAGCTCTGGAAATCAAGCAGGCTGACATGGTTCACAAACTTGTGATAGGACTAGTTTGAAAGGCCAAACATGGTTACTTCGTGAGACTTAAAGTATTTTTCTTTTCAACCAAGCTTCTTTAAAAGAGACACAATGGGAACAAGAATCTGATACTTTTTATGGGATATACACATTGCTGTCCACCTTTTCAACTCTGCAATTCATTTCTAATTATTATGTAATAGTGCTTGGGTTCATGGAAGGGACAACACAATTTAGTTGTATGCAGTCTTGAAAGACTGAAGATAGTGGCTGGAGAGATGACTCAGTGATTAAGAGCACTTGTTCCATTTCCGGAGGACCCAGGTTTTGATCCCCACACCCAGGCAGTGTCTCACACCTGTAACTCTAGTTTCCAGGGATCTGATATCTTCTGCTGCTTTTGAGGAAGGCAGACATGCACACCGTGGCACAAACATTTATGAAGGCAAAAATACTCATATACAGAAAATAAAAAATTAAAAACCAACCTCTAACCCTTGACAATATAAAGGAATTGTAAGATGGGTAGTACACATCAGTCATTAGAACTTTATCAGATGATCCTATTTTGGCTTCACTTGGCTTTGGCACTAGCTATCAAAGAGTGGCTGACCACTGAAATGCATCAACAGATGTGAGGAGATCCGAGTAGTTTCATAAGAAGACAGAGTGGTTAGGAATACATGAATAATATCAATTTGGGTATTTGTTTTTCAGCACAGTGCTCTCTGTCTTGAGTCTTTTTTAGCAATATTTCCTCTAAATTTATTCTTAAATATTCTGTATTTTTACCTTGCTAGAGCTTGTTACTAAGATTTTGCTGTATTTTGTCATTTCTTAGGGTGGACATGTCTGCAGTTTTTTGTTTTGCTTAGGCTATAGACTCTTCTCCATAGTGAGAGACAGCCACTGAGTGTGTGAAAAAAAGAAGGGTACAAAAGATTCCAGTAGCAAGACACTGTTATCAAATTCCTGGCATTAGGCTGTGAAGGCCACCATGATTTAGGAAACAGCTAATGGGACAAAGCAAAAGCTTGTCAGCAAGGCTGGAATTTACACTGCACTTGGTCACTGTCCCTGCTTGAGGAGTCTGCAGTATCCACAGATTCCCTTAGTCCCATACTTCTCCCCCAGGATAATCCTAGTATCACATGCAAAACCCTGGACCATGTGCCCAGAAGATTCCTTTGGCCCTATGAGTAACCCACTGCCTGGCAAAACACTATCTTAGTAGTCCATCAACATACACCCATTAAATCTAGGGTCAAACGTGATTATGAGGGAATCTATAGCCCTTGGAGTCAGCAGCATTAATCGTGGACCAAAGTATCTTAGGCATCTCTTGCTGCATTGCACTGCAGTCAGTGGGAACTGTTCGTGTCTGAATCAGGTGTGGGTCTATATGTGGTGGCTTCAGGGGGGTGGTAGACTTGGGATCTGAAGATATTCATCTTCAGGTTTGGGAGCTTCTTACTCTCCCTGTTTATCTTGAGTTCTTTGTCTGATTATAATGGAAATTCCTTGGGTTCCAAACTGGTGCTTCAAGTTTATGATCCATCGAAAATGTCACCATTGCATATACACCCACTCTATTTCCGGTTGAAACTGTTCGATAAAGCTGTACAGTATTGCCAAGCCTCCTGAAGGAATGTGAATTGTTCATGATGGAAAAGCAGTAAGCAGTAACTCATTAAAGAGAGCCCTAGTGGAGTGACTGTAATGAGCTGTGGATTTCTCTAGAGGTCTGCTGCCTGTCTGACAACAGCAGGACACATTTTTTTCTTAACAGGGAGCCTTCCAGTCTGCAGTGGAAGTGTGCTATTAAGTTGCGCGTTCTTTACTTCTCTACCTGTCCTAATCAGGACTGCTGTGATTGCTTTCTCAGTGAAATGAGGCATGCTACCCCCAAGTTCTGCCATCTGAGGCCCCAGCTTTGAAAGCTTTGAGTCAGCTCACTTAGAAAGTAAATCAACTGAAAATTCACGGTGCCTTTGGTTTTCTGAACTTGTTGAGCTAACACTAAAAGTATAAAGTTTGGCTTAAATCAAATGGAATCTTAGAATAAAGTCTGATTATTTCACACGTAGCATTTAAACTTCCCTTAGGAGGAATAGTGTTTCTGTTTCTTTGTTTTGTTCGCGGATCATGCACGGCATGCCAAATTCAACTGATGATTGAAAACTGAATGTCACACTAGCACTAAGAGCAAATTTCTAATAGTCTCATCATACAAATTGTAATAATTTGAGGTGATGAACATGTCAATTAGCTTACTTTCAATTTTTTACTGCAAAACCATATCATCGTTTTGTATGTCCTAAGTATGACCAAACAAAATTTGCCAATGTATCATAAGAAGTAAATTTTAAAAATGCATAACGTAACACATTAGTATAGAGCCATTTCAGTTCATTAGCTGAGGCTGAATCTTAGAAATGTCAGTGTTCCCATGGGGCATATTTCAGTAGTTTGGTACAGGTTCATATTAGCTGTGTGGTGCTCTTGAAGTACTTGAGTGAGATTAATGCTAACCCGGTGATTATGTCCTGGAACATAAGGTTCAGAGAGATGGTTGGCTGAGAGTTGAGACACAGGGAAGGAGATAGCAGACTCTCTGTATTGGCCTCCTCCCTGCATAGCAGAGATGTGACTGACACTTAAACCTCTGACTCACTCGCCAGAGTCATTGCACAGTGAGGACCTGTGTTGCTGTCCTGCCTGTGTCATTCTCAGGGACAAGAGTCCTGCTAACTCAGACAGAAGAGATGATGGCCAAAGCTGTGGATGGAGAGATCATCCATAGTGAGATATTGGAGGAGAAAAGGCTACTTATTTAGGAAAGATCACCATCAAATCACTGGGCAGGGGAAAGAGCTGAGAAAACTCACCTTTATTTCCACAAGAGGAAATCATTGTGACCCACTGATTCTCTAGGCACCGTAGTATTGAACAGAGCATTCCCTTCCTGCCAAGCAACTACGAATGCAGAGAAAACATTTGCTGATGTTGTTATAACTCTTTCTGCCCCTTTCGGAATGGTGCTTAGGTCAAAGAGTTTCTGATGGTACAAAGTCACCTAATTTAGTACTTTCTCTGGGTAGGAATGTGGGCCAGCTATTTTGTTTGTGGCAATGCTGTGTGATTTGATCACATCTGAGCAGCTTAAGAAATTTCCCTGTTTGAGAGCTCTGCACCCTTGCTGGTCTCTGTACAGTGCCAACAGTTCTTGGTACAGAGACCATGCATGTGCTCTAATCTTGTTTGATTTTATTTTTTGGACTATGATTAGAGGTTCAAAGACAACCACGATTCTTCTGTGCTGGTTCTCGTCTCTCTGGCACAGCAGCATGTGAATTCTGTGGACACACTTAGAAGCAGAGCCACACCGGGGTTCTCTGAGGTAGCTCTTCTTTCATGATTTCGAGAGGGTCGAGATGTTTGTAAAGGGTTCTCAACCTCTCTTTTTAAGTACACTCTCACAAGAATTTGGAAATCCAGGGACTAAGTGAATTACTCTGAAGACCCTCAAAACCACACAGCTTCCACGCTGGAGGCCAGCAGGGGGCGCACAAAGCAAAAGACGTTTGTTAAGAAAAGTTGCACATAGTGTAATTTTAATCCATTCCATTTTAAATACCACAATAAATTTAATTTTCACAATAAATTAAATAGCCATATTCAGTTTACAAAATAGAATTACTTAGTGTGAAACTGGTATTTACATCATTTACAAAATGTACAGGGCATTTCTCTTTGTTGACAGACAACATGGAAGTAAAAGGACTTGATTCTCCGGCACGTGATAGACATGCTACAAAAGACACCGTGGGAACAATAGTGCAAAATTACCACAGGAACTTTGGAACAAGGTCAATTTGATGAGATACGACATTCTTTTAAATGATAAGAAAATAGCATATTCTGTTTTCATGGCACCAACTTAGCGTCTGAATTAAAGAACCTTAGGACAAAAACAAAACAAAACAAAACAAAACAAAACAAAACAAAAAGAAACACCATAAAACTGAATCCTCTACTTCCTGAAGCTTCATAGCCATTGGTACATTTTCACACATTCATCTTTTGGCTTAAATCTATGAAAATGGCAGGTGACAAGTTCTGAATCAAAGGAAGACGAACTCTTGGGAATATCTAAAGTCACTTTCCCCCAGTCCCACCACCTCTTCTTTTCGCTTTTTTGTCTTTCTTTTTCTTTTTTCTTTTTCTGTAAATAGCTTAAAAGATGCAACTAGGCAGACAGCAATTTAATATTTTGTTTTGTAAATTTTCAGTAGAAAAAGAATTGATCTTTTATTTGGTCACACACTGCATATTTACAAGTTATTCATGGAAAAATGACTTGGGTAGCTGTGTCTGGGAAAGTGCATATTTTAATCTAGAGGAGAAACCACATGGCTCCAGATACAACACATGGTGTTGTACAGGGTTGTATTATTTTAGGGCCAGTTCAATGTCCGACCAGTGATCTGGTAAAATTTTTGATTAAAGGGATGAAAGAATTTACGCAATTTGGTAACGACGGAGGGGTCTACCTCAGGATGGATGCGCCCCTTGCTTCCCGCCAGGCACTTATTAAAGATAATGTTAAATCGCAAACAGTAAAACCCTCTTGTAGCATTAAAATATAAATTGTACTGACTTATCCTTGGAGGAAGGTTTAAGAACTTCTCCACGAGCTGTAGTTCCGGCAGAGGTTCGGCGATGAGACGGTCTCCGTCCACGACGTGAAACTGCTCAATTGGAAAGTACTTCAGCCAGCGCTCCAGATGTTTTGTGTATATGCTGGTCCTAACCGCCTTGTATTTTGTGTTCACCTCGCAGGTATTAGGGTCTATGGCCAGCTTTTCAAACTTATAGTAGGTTTTGTTCTTCCTCTCCTTCCCCTCTAGCACCTGAGTGTAATCAGAAATCGCTCTTGTGGTTGGCTCCCTGACAATGATCAACAGCTTGATGGATGAGTTCATTTTGTAAATCCTTTCTGGAACCTCTTCTGTGATAAAATATGCCGGGCTCTTTTCAATTGTGATTTGCTGAGGGTAGGAAAAAGGCATCTTTTTCCTGTACCACTCAATGCCCTTGGCATAATTCTCATCATTGTCAAAGAAGTGGATCTCTTGGGAAGCTTTGACCACTGCAGGATGGAGGTTCAGCATCTCAAGCAGGGCCCTGGTGCCCCCTTTCCTCACCCCGATAATAATGGCTTTTGGGAGCTGCTGGACCAGGTCATGGAGGCGAACCTGCTCCTTGGAAGAGTTGCCTTTCCGGAACTCATGCAGCAAGCCTCTCTTAAACTGCAGGGCTCGGAGTGGGAACTCAGCCTGATTGTGGGCACCACCAAATCGGCTTTCAACAGGGCAAAGGGGCTGGAGCCTGCAAGCAAAAGAGAGGCACTGTTAGAAACTCGTCACAACGAACTTCTCATTGTTCTGCATCTGTGCTCACTCTCAAATTGAACATGCATAAATAAAGCCACTGGGTCCCAGGCTTCTATAATCCATAATGAACATATGTTTGGGAAATTTTATATTAAGTAACCCTGTATTCGGTGGAGCACACATAATTGATGGGATTTTTTTTTTTTTTTATTAGCGCTCCTTAAAATTTTTATTCACCAAGCGCTTAATTGACTATGGCGTGTACTTATGCTCGCAGTACAGGACAGACAAGTGACTCCAGCCATACTAATAGCTTTTGAAACAGCTCACTAGTTAAAATCATTTAGAAAATCGGGAAGGCGGGAGATTATAATCTTCAGTTAGGGCGCTGAAGGGCAAAGAAGAGGCCATTTATTTCAGGCATTGTGCGGTATTGTCTCTTTTCTTTTTCTTCTTTTCCATCTCCTTTGGCAGCCTAGCGGGATTCACATGGCCCTTGAACATCCTTGAGATATAATCTGAGAAGAGGCTCCCAGTCCCTGCCCTTGGCTTTTTGCATCGCTATTGCACAGAACTCCAATCTCTGTCCTCGTTGAACTTTTTTTGTTCGGTGAGAATTTCTGCCCCTTGGCCTTGGGAGAAGAGTGCTGTATTTCTGACTCTCTTTCCATTTCTATCTAAAAGGATCAAGATTGCACTTTTATCTTGCAGTCCCAAGGAGCAGTCCCAAGCACCATTGTTCTGTGTATGACCTCCCACTCCTGAGACCAGAAATCTGGAAGAAACTTTGATGGGGCCAGAAATTCCAGATCCTCATTACTATCCAGTTTAAGTCAGGCACTAGTAAAGAATGCAATGGACAAAGCCAGGAAGGATGAACAGCTATTCATATTTTTCTGAGAGAGAAAGATGTGGGAACAGCCACAATGATATCATGATGAAATGACTACTTTAACATGGCCTCTATATATGGTTAGAAAATTGTGTTTATTTTTATGCATAGTCTGAAGGTAAACTAAAAAATTACTATACTTAGTGAGTCAACTAGGTTGATTTAGGAAGTCATTTCAGGCTTCTTGGTGAAAGGGGATAATACTAGTCAAATAGACTATTAGAGTGTTCCTTCCAGTTGAAATTTTCTAGTGACAGGAGTAATTCAGACTCTCTCTCCTTCTCTGTGATAATAAGGCAGTCTCTTCATTCCCCAGGAGACCCTACTTCAAGCAATGCTCAATCCATAGTATAGACCTTAGGGGAATGAATGGCTTTGGATTTGCTCTGTTTACCTAGGTTGATATAATAATCTTTAAGGAAAATATAAACATGTATTAATTTTGGTAGGATTTATTCTATTATTTATAAAATAACTCACACTTATTTCAGAAACTTTGAAAACAATGAAAATCTATTGTAAAAATAGGGCTTAGCACTCTCTTGATTATTGTTCCCTTTTCTGTGATAAAACACCCATGGCCAAAGGGAAACTTGGGAAGAAAAGGGTTTATTTCAGCTTACAGTTTCACATCATAGTCCGTCATGGACAGAAGTCTGGGTAGCAACACAAGGCAGGAACCTGGTGGCAGTAACTAAAGCCACGAAGGAAAGCAACTTACTGGTTTATTCCTCATGGCTTGCCCAGCCAGATGGCAGTGTCCATGGTGGATTGGGTCCTCTGCATTAATCATTAATCAAGAAAATACACAACAGGCCTGTATTATGGAGGCATTTTCTCAAAGGAGACTCCCTCATCCCAACTGACTCTCTCTTGTGTCAAGTTGACAAAACAAAACAGAGCAAACTAACCAGGTCAACTAGAGTTAATATTTTATGAAAATGTGAACTTTTAAGTTTTTTTGGGATTGTTATGCTAGAGTTCTAACTTGGTCTTACAACGTTGTCAACAGATACATAGTTTAGAGTGTTGTTGATTGAGACAACCATGTGTATATTATAAATTAGCTTTTCTGCTCTTCTTGGGTTCTGTCTATGAAGCTAGATCTAACTCATCGAGGTGTCTGCTTTTCTTTTAGGCATATAGATGATGCTGGCAATGTTTCTTTGAGCACTGTTGCAATAGTCTTTCAAATCCTTTTCTGGAAGTTTTGATTATTTTGCCCAATCCTGGGTAAAAGTGTTGACATGGACATCTCTGGGAATCGAACTCCCTCTGTCTAGACAGGGCTGTTTTCCTTCTGAACTTCCCTGTTCTTTCTACTTCCTATCCTGTGCTATCAAACTCTGTCAGCCAATTGCTTTCTAGACTTCTGCACTCAAGTGAACTTGTAAAAGTAGGAGAAAATATCTCATTCCCCTGCTCCCTGAAGAATGGTTCTAATCACAGCTGCCAGACCCAAAGCAGAATTTTAACATTGTAAGAGACAAGTGAAGTAACCTTAGTGTCCTTCCTCGAGAGCAGTCTTAAGTTACTAAGCGTAAGCCTAAAGAAGCACACATCATTTCAGACACAGTTGTTCAGAATCTTAAACAAGGGATTTCGAGAAAGCCCTTCAAATGGTAGATCTTCTTATAGAAGCCATTCCACGAAAGAGCTGGGAAAGCTACAGATAAGAACTGTTACCAGTTGAAATGATAAATGTGTTCACAACTATAAGTTCAATTACTCAACAAAACCTCAATGATTAGAAGGGTATTTAAGGTGTTGTGAAGACCTCACACTAAAGTTCTGATATGGACATAGGACAAACGTTGTCACCTCAAGGCTTTTCACTATCAAATGAGATGTCAAGAATAAACATTGAGTGCCAACATCGAGTGATAAGCTCTTAACTACATAGGTCATAGTTACAAAGTGGGAGAAATTTTGAACTGCAAAAATCAACAGGAGGTTAAGGTATATCATTTACGATGGACACTGACTGAAGGAAAGCAAGGACTATTGCTGTATTGTTTGAAAACATCTGAACTACAGGATACTGAGGAAAAAACTGAAGCTATTTTTATTTAAAATTGTGAACAGGTTTTCATTGACTCTGGGAGTTGACTTGACAATGAATCCAGTCTCTCAGAATAAAAGTTAATTTAAGGGGGGAATGGGAAGCAGCTTCTTATCCGACAAATAAGGTCCTCAATATTTACTACTCATCCTGACTGTAGAACCATTGAGGAACATCTTAGGGACACTCAACAGTCATGATGAGGACTCCTGCAGGCCCAGCACCTCTCAACTACTTGTCTATTAAGAGCCCACCCCCTACCCTGTAATTTCCTCTTCATGGATTTTCCAGTGCCTCCTGGGCAATCATTCTGTGTGACAGCATCCTTGTCGGTGTGCTCAGCTCCCGAAAGCCAGAGCTAATTAACATAGTTAAAAATCCATGCCTGTAGCCATCTTTCCAGGGCAGAGGAATGCAGACTTGATGAGCTTCTTTACTGGTGCATACATAATTGTCCGCTCATAAATTTCAAAACGAAGAGTCGTGATACTGGAGCTACCATGCTGTAATGGCTGAAGGTCAGCACCAGATGCACACAGGCTATACTGTGTCCTGGTCAGCAACAGTATTATTTACTTATTATTATTTATTGTACACAGCTTTATGCCTTCTATGAGAACAAGTGTCAGTGCTCACAGAATCCCAGTGGATCTGGAAGAAGTATCCTGGTCTGAGCAGTGTGGAACTTGTTTCTCTAAGGTCCTTAATGAATTAAAAGGAACAAAACAGAAAAATGTGTTTTTTTTGAGAATTTTGAGGGACAAAGGCAAATGGATCAACTCAAGTTCTAGCCCAAGGAAGCTCACATCAAGACATACATAGAGCTACATGGGCAGAGTGTATTTTTAACCACCTACCTATCCAAAGTCCCAACTCTGGCAACGAGATACAGGAGGCTCCCAATGGCAAGGCTTCCAAGCACCAGCAGCTTCTGTCTCAGCCACACCTGCTGTTTGAATAGCATGGCCCTCCATCAACCTTCAGGACTGCCACAGCCTGAGAGCAGAGAAAAGGTGCCTGTCAGCACTTGTCATGAAGCCAACCAGAGGTGAACTCAGACCATTAAGCAATAAAGAGAGCACATACCAACTCTGGCAGTTTTCATGGTATTCCTGATCTTAGCAAAACTTACCTTTCCTTAAAAAGACAATCAAACAAACAAAACAAAACAAAACAAAACAAAACAAAAACCTAGTCTATGTTATAAGATCAACTGTTAGTTTCATGGGAGATTTATACAGAATTTTCTCTGTCTTCAACAGTTTCTGAAGTACATAAAAACTCATAGAAGATAGATAGATAGATAGATAGATAGATAGATAGATAGATGATAGATAGATAGATAGATAGATAGATAGATAGATAGATAGATGTACAGACAGGTAGAGTGTTTTACCAGTAAGCCAACTAAAAGGTAAACTGAAGTTAGAATAATAGAGTGGATGATGAAATTATGGTTGAGTCAATGATTATTATGACCATAACAGTGACATCTTTAATTTATACCTTTTTGCTTTGCTTTGGTTGAGAATGAAGAAAGAGGGCAGGATCTAAAATTACTACTTCCTGAGATTACGAGTGGTAAGTGTCCTGTCTGACTGTGTTTGAAGACACTGGCTCCAAGGAGCTTGCTGTTTGCTTTCATTTCTCCTCCCAGTCCATGACATTGGAAACACACTTTGACTAGGTGGCCTTGCTCTGTGGTACTCTTCAGGCTCCCAGGGAAGTTGAACAGGCTGGGTGGAATTAGGCTTGCTTTTACCCCAACAAGGAAGTTTCCCTGGAAGCTTTATTTTCTTATACATGAAGAGTATAGTGTAAGGCTTTACTTGTACTGTTATTACATTCTGGAGGGAAAAAAAAGCTCCAATTCAGACTTCTTATTAAAAATAAATCCAATCCCCTTTCAAGATAAGATTGTTTGCTTCTTATTGAAACTGAAAATAGCAACCTGAGAACACAGAAGCTGAGCCCTGGCTGGAAATGATCTTGCCTCAAAGGTATCTCCATATTTTTTATGTGAAGATTTCAACTATGCAAAAGGGATGTGGCTGCGATGGTCAGGCTTATCTACACTTTTATTTATCAAGAAACTGCTGAGCACCAACAGCATTTCCTGCTATAAGAGTAGGTACATGGGAGATTTCAGAAGTGTTCTGAACAAGTTTAAGATTAGAGAATCATGGAACAACCAGAGAACAAAATCCCACATCTCAGTAATGTGTGAATAAATGTTGGTAAAGGAAATTTAAGGAAATCACCAGAGAATATGCACCCCATAAGAATCCAGTTTTTATTTACCAACGAGACTGTAGGAGGTCATCCTAAGAGAGATTAGAGCAGAGAAAAGAGTATGTCCATGTGCCAAGTTCTGTGCTGGGTGCTACAGAGAATCATAATCAACTACACAGATACAGGTCTTGCACACTGGGGATGTACACTCTAGCGGAGAAGACAGATGGTAATCCACAAACCTATAGGGGATTGAGAAAATACTTGCAAATTGCAGTAAATACCACAATGAAAATACAGGAGAAAAAGTTAACAGGGAGTTTCTGTTATTCGTGGAGGAGAGAGAGTTGAGTGGCATTGTGGAGGATAGCAAGGAGGTAGGAGGCAAGGTTGGGTAGAGGCAGGCATGGAAGCTGGGGTAGGGAATTCTTGCCTAGCTTGATAAGGGAAGGTAGGTGTGGCCAGACAGAGGGATTAAGAAGGAGGGAAAAAGGAGTGTATCTGTGCTTGGTGGGGAGATGGGTCAGTATACCTGTGGTTCTGGCTTATCAGGGCTTGGCTTGTAGGCAACGGCATAGAGAAAGGTGATACAGAGAAGCTTATTGAGGCTTTCTCTGTGGTAAGCACATTGTCAAAGTGCTATTTCAGAAAATCCCAAAGAATAAAAATATCCTGTGTGGTAGATGGACGTTCACAGTTTTGTCTCTCTTCCGCCAGCTACAGAACTGTCAGGCACTGAGAAGGCAAAGGCAGTAACATGGCACATGATTCAAAAGTATTTCTGAAAGAACCACCAGCCATCCTCTGGGCTGATTCCAAGGGTCTTAGAGCCACAGCCTAAAGCACAGGGCTTTGACCTATGCTCAAATGTGAACAGTGGTGGGGGAAGAGAGCAATGAGATCCTGCGGTTAGATTCACACAACCGTTCTTTCCTTAGCTACAAGGTGGGACAGCCTGTTACCTCCCCATATGTGGTGGGTGGAAAGAGAAATGTCCCTCAGAGGCACAAGCATCTGAATGCTTGGTACCCAGCTGGTGGGGCTGTCAGGGAAGGTTACAGAACATTTAGGTGGTAGAGCCTTGATAGAGGAAATATGTCACTCTGGCTGTGAGGTTTCACAGCCTGGCCCTTCTTCCTGTGTTGCCATGCCTTCCCACCTTGATAAACTCTATCCCCGTAAAAGCATAAGCCAAAATAAATCCTTTTCTCCTCTAAATTTCTTTTGGGCAATTGAATCTTATCACTGGCAAGAGAACAGAACAGAAAAGTCAAGAATGCACCGTGTCATAGCACTATAGCAAGAAGGAAGTGACGGTTCTATAGGTAACGGCACTCCTCAAAGGCTTATTAGCTTTCCTGACTAAAGGATTGCATGTCCCTTGTGCTTTAGTGTGAATGAATAAATGTGCATTCACAGAAGAGCACTGTGAGCTAAGGAGGGCAGCAGTAAATAAGAAGGATGGGAATAGTCCCGTGGCCTCAGTGGGAGTCACCAGTCTTCCACAGAAGATCAAGAGTGCAGGCTGAGGAAGCAGTTTGGCTTTTTTCAGTATTTCCATGTGGTGTCTCTATCATCCTGCTCAGAAGGGTATGGCACAATGCTTGGTGTGGTGCCACACAGTCCACCTGTCTGTCTTTATCTGTCCTCCACCTAACCTGGCTCCTTCATCAAACAGTGGAGGCTGCTGTCCATGGTCCTCATTGAATGGCACTGATCCCTCCTTCCTGCACTCAACCACACAGACATTTGCTGTTCTTGAGTATTTCGACTGATGTTAAGCGTCACCATCTTTATGTATTACCACCACGTCCCCGCAATGGGATAAGTCAATTGATGGAATTTACAAGTATTGGAATGTTAACTGAAGGAATTGAACCTGACTCAGTCTGCTTTGCTGTCTGGTCCAGAGTACCTCTCTGGGCGCCTGAAAGAGATCCCTAAGAAACATACCTGCCCCTATCCTCAGAGTCCCCAGGCCAACGGTTCTGAATTAAGCTTGCATTTGCAATTTCAAATAGGAAAACCACCTCATTTGGTACTGCTTTCTATACCATGGCTGGCCATCTTTGCCAGTGAGTTTCTTCAAGCTTTGTACTCTCCAGGCACTCCATCATGCCCCACATGCCCACCTTAGCAGTTTTTTTTTAAATGTAGGCATGTTCTTTGCTCTCTTCCTATGGGATTTCAGAGCCCAGTTCATCTTCATAACATAAGTTGTTTCGTCCCTGACCTGTTTGGGGGTTGTTAACTGGACCCAGCATCGTAGTCCAGGCCTTTCTTTCCAAGGGCTCAGTGTGATGGCCAGATTCTTTCCCTTTCATGAGTTGACCACCTCTGTGCCCACTTGGCCCCTTCCTTACTGGTCTTCATACCTTTTGGCTTGATGGTCCAGTTAGCCTCCTCACTGGCATGGAATATATTTCCTATGTTTCTCCTTTTGGCATTCCCTTACAGAGTCTTTTTAGGAGGGATGATCATGGAGGAAATATCCCAACACAATTCCCATCAGTTGGTAGGAATTGATCTGGTCTATTGTGCTGACCAATTAGAGGGCAAAGGTTTGTGTGTGGGGTGTCTGTGCCTGGGAATAGAGCTTGGGAAGTATTTGCTCCTGTATGTAAGTAAAGTTCTGAGATGACCTCATGATAAACCCTGCTTGAGAATAGCAAGGAAGAAAAAGAAGAAAAGTAAGAGAGAATGTGAAACTCGATGGGGAAATGGTCCAGGGCTTGGGGACTGTAACATGTTTTGTTTACTAGTTTTCTGTAGAAATGCTTATGCAAACCTTATTCATTAGGCTGTTAAGCCTGACTGGCCCTGAGGCTATTTTTTTATGACCCCCTAAGGCTCCTTCAATCTCATTTGTGTTCCAAACACCTCAAGTATAGACTGTCCTCTGGACAAGGCCATGTATTTTCATGTAGGTTTTGCACTTTGGGACATGCTGATACTGGTGATATATGTATCAGTTCAGCCTCCCTCCCTGTGTACAAGATGCCTTAAGCATGTCTACTCGCATTTTCTCTAGCCTTTTCTTTGAATATCGGGCCTAATTTTATACTGACTCCTCTTATGCTATATCTGTGCCATCACAGTACACATGTTTGCTGTGATAGTGAGGAGGTCTGAATGTGAAATCTCAGCTGCTACGGGAGCCACCAGTGACTCAGTATAGACTCACAGTCTCGGTGCCAAGAGCACTTGTCAGCGTTATGGTTTACTTTTGTCATGGGAACCTTTGGAATTTCATGTTCGTCACCTGTGCAGTGAAAACAGCAGGGTCTGTTTCATGGGGTTACCACGAGATGGACCCAAGCACAGAAGTTTGTGAGAATCTTATCACTTTACAGTCATGAAGCATAGTTAATACCTTGAGGAGGCAAATAAATTAGTTCTCGCAATGCATATTAAAGAGGAAAAATAGAATAAATGTACTTTTCGTGAATGGTATAACTGGGCTGTGAAAAATATAGGTCCTTTTTAAGCATAAAAGCTTTTAATGGGATCTCCCATGGAACATTCAAATACTAACACTAAGCTTCTATTCAAGCAAGATGTGCACATGGACATACTCTCATGCACACATATGACACGGTCAATGCTTGCCTTCAGGAGCTAATCCCTCTTTCAACTTTTAAGGGAGGAAGAGGTCTCACCAATGTGTCCCAATGAGGCTTTTTAGGGGACATCTGGAATGACATTTCCTTTTGTATTATAACCAGTGTTAGGTGACAGGGACTATAT